CCCCAAAACCCCAAAACCCCAAAACCCCAAAACCCCTGTATTTCTACATGTATATATATTTACGAGATGAAATCTTATAATAAAAAGAAACATGAGAAGTTATTTCAGTCAACCTGAAACATATACAAATATTAGCATTGAAGCACTTAAGACACAACTCGCAGTGAATCTTCTGCTCCAGAATCAAGCTCAGCTCTCGAGCATTTTGGGAAACATGCATTCAACTAATGTGATGATGAATCCAAGTAGCCTTAACCATGTTTCTTCAATTTTAAACATGGTGAATACTTCGAAGACACCTCAGGTCATAAATAGACCAATTCCTACTTTTGGGAATGAAAATATTTTGATGAATCAAGCTGGAAGCTACGTTCCTGGAATTTTCGAGAACCCAGGATTCATCAACTCGAAAGTACTTCCTTTACCTAGCAACTTTGGAATTACGGCAGTTGAGAAATCATCACCAGTAAAAGCATCTAGTGAGCCTTTAAAGAAAATTGATGAGACTAGGAAAAGCTCATTGTCTATTGACCAGACAGTTGCTGACCTTGACACTAAAGCAGGAGAGTCTTCTGAGCCTTGTGGAGAAACCAAGCCGACTAGCCTCGTGTTTAACATTAGAAGGTACAACAAAAAGCAGAAAAAGTTCATCTTATTAACACGTCATAGAAAGCTCATTACTAAATGTGAGCATACTGATGAAGAGTACTATGCTAAAGGGATGTGAAAGAAGTGCTACCATAACAAAGGAGAGAGGTCTAAATATGCAACTACTTGTGGACACACAGATAAGTTCCATTACGCTAAAGGACTTTGCAAGGGGTGTTACCTAACAGAGTACCATAAAGGAAGGAAGCCAAAACCTTCAGCATAGACCTGATAGCCAAATTGTATTTGGAAGGATACACACCGCTTGTGTATTTCGAAATTAGAGTATCTGCAGGACAAGGAATTCGAAATTACTCGAGTGAGGGTCTTACCTCATTTTTGCAATACGAAATAGCAAGAATGACATCAACCCATAACTCTTGTATACCTCTCCTTGAACCTAGTTGACGCAAACTAGGGTTTGTCAATACGCTAGTTGCTCTAATTTATTCGTTTCCGATTAATAATCACCTTCCGGAATAACTCTCTCCTTTACTTTTATTTTCCTCACAAATGTTGTTCTTATCACTTGGAATAAGATTTTTCAGCATAATTTTTATCGTTAATAAGAAATAATAAAAAATTGGGAAATCAAGATCCAAATGGCAAAGTGTTGGGATAGGATACCGTAGCTATCATTCTCAATAAATTACTTATAGTACACGTCATTTCTACCATTTTAACGTATTATATAGCTTGGATATGGATCTGGAAGCCCTCCAAAAATGCGGCAGATCTTATCGTTACCCTCGTGGTTACTTTTAAATTTTAGGAAGGGAGTTTGATGATCAAGATTCACCAGTGCTAATGAGGGGAGCTATGACTTTATGATAGCCAAGAACTTGGTTTAAATGCTCCGGTCTTTGCTCTCCTTCGTTTGCAAGAGGAATTTAAGAAATTCCGGGTAAACACTCACAAAAACTTGGTTAAATTTAGATACCTTTCTTCCCTAATAGCTCGACTCTTTTGGCTTTAATAATATCCTTTCTAATGTTTGATCAGGAAGTTATAATTTTGAGCCCCAGGGCTATCACTCTCTGGTGAACTTATCTTTTAGCCTTCAAATAGAGCTTAGAGAAAATGCTATTCTAAACACAGCGAATTTTTGAAGACTAACGAGTATTCAGGATTTTTTACTTGGAACGCTTGTCTTGGTAACCAGTCAGCCTATTATATCTTCACACTTGGGTGAAGAGTTTGGAGAATCTTGCTCTTTTCTAAGAGTTATTTATAAATGAATCTAATTATGACTTGGAAGTACAGTTGCATTTTCTGGAGTAGATACTTAAAATTGAAACCAAATAGCAAGAGGAGATCTTTAGCTGAAGTGATAAGGCTCTAATTTGATTTGTGCGCCTTTGGTATCATTATAAGTCTCATCTTCACAGCGAGCTTCTTCATGAATCAAGATTCACAGTCAAATTTTAGGAGCCTTAGTTATTCAAAGAATTTCAAATAAATTCTAAATGACATAAAAGACGTCATTTCTTCAAAACTCTCATCCCAAATCCTTTCAAGTATGTTGGTATCAAAAATAATACCAAAAATTGCCTAAGGCTTCACAGCCACTAAAGATATGCCTTAAAACCTATATCGAAGCCTCAATTCCCCATTTCTTGCTTAAGAATTTAGAAAACTCCATCCTAAAAGACAATTAATAGTCATTATTTTGTCTTTTTCAGGAAATATTTAGCCCTACTACACTAAAAAATAGGTCTAAACCATGTAAAATGTGTTCTCGTGGTTTATGTTCTTTTATTGGTCCATTCACCAACCTCTAAGGCTGCTTTAATACATTATTTGTGAACCAAGATTAATGTCTCCATTAAAAATAGGGGAATATCGTTCAACAGCTTTTAGACATAGAGGGGTTTTGGGGTTTTGGGGTTTTGGGGTTTTGGGG